CAACAAATGACATTTATTTGTTCATGTTCCATTAATGGTAACCTCAACATTTTTTTTGAAAATTACAAGTTCTTTTCTCTTCTATTTTCAATTTAACATTGCAGTTACCAGTTTCCAGTTTTTTCAACCACAAAAAAAAAGAAGATCTTTGACTCTGAATTCATTGTTTTGTATTCGTTCTATGAGTTTACTATTGAAATGAGAAAAAGACCAAATATATAGTGGCTGAAAAACGATGAGTAACTGAGTAAAACACAGAAATATTTTATGAATTCATCTCTTTCCTTTTCCAACTTTTTCTCATAATTTTAAATGATTTCAGCTATATTCCAAAGTTTGACGGTCAAAGCACTGCATAAGATCTATCATCGGTGATCATCACAGGATAAAAACTTGTGTATGCTAACAGAACAGTTGAAGTGTCATATCAGCGATAAAAAATGAATGTCGTACCTGACAGTTTGGTTTTTTCCACAAAGTCAACGAAGCTTAGCGAGCTGAACAAAATTTTGATTATTTACGATACCTATAATGCAGGTTTGAGAGAAGAACCCGTAGCAGCTGTTTATTTTTCAATTTTTTTTCTAATTTTTCACTCCAACTTTTACATGGTCCGAATCTGATGTACTAATGACGTAAGTCAAGTATTCTAAATTGTCATCATTTTTGTGCACCGCCAGAACACCCAGTGTTGGATACATGAAACATCAAAAGTATTTGTTGATCACGAATCATTTTTTAAAAACTAATTCCATTTAAGAGACACCCTATAATGGTCACCTGCAGATGACAAAGAGAAGAAAACGACTGAATGGTTTTCTCTAAAGATTCAAATCGGCTTTATAGAAACCGATAAAAGAGGCTGTTTTTCCCTCTTTAAATTGTTGAACAAAGAAAAAAAAACAAGTGGAAAGTTTGTTTTCTGTTTTTTGTTATACTCCGAAAGCTACTAATCAAAAATCTTGTAACAAATACATTGAAGCCTAACAGTCATAGTCATAATGTCTTATTGCACAGGCTAGAAGCAAAATCTTTCTCTAACAGTTACTACAGTGTCTCTCTCTCTTCTATCCTCCCGTCTAATAATCACCAATATCATTACGTTTGTACGATTATCTAAAGCATAAATCTTTTTAATTTTAAGAAATTTCTACATGTAATATTAGAAATATAAAGAGGAAAAGAAAGGAAAGGGATTAAGTAATTCTCAGATTTTGTCTTTCAATTTTAATTGCTTGCTTCTGAAGTACCGTCAGAAAAAATTTAAAAAAAAAAACTTTGGTAGTAATCTCTGAAATTTTTGGATACTACAGTAAAGTATCAGACATTATCATGAATGAAGTAATATTAAGTTATAATGGAGAGATCAACAAAAAACAATTAGGTGAAAAACCACAAATAGAGAGATACATTAAGAAGGCTGAAGATGAGGTGTAACTGCCAAAAGTTGGCCTTCAAAAAAGACCAAATACGATGCCGTCGTATTCAATCATGTGATCGGTAATATAACAAACAAAGTTCTTTTTTTTTTTGTTCTGATTAAAAGATTATACTGCTTTTGCTCAGTTGGTCTATTTGGTCGAAGTATCAATGGCTTCTAAAGTTCAAATTTTAGGAATTCGATTTTTGATTAAGCTGAGGCTAACAAACTGTTTTAAATATTAAATATACTATTTTTGGCCAAATTTTTAAAATCTTTTTGATGACTTCAGGAAAATTACTTATCGCATTCGATGCACAATAAAGACTATGATTGTTTTCAGCAAAGATAAAAAAAAATCCGCAGTAATGATGGACAAATAGAAAGCAGAACAGTACTGTTTGGGATGTAGATGAAAAGTGAAAATTCACAAAAATGTGGAAGTAACCAGTCGAAGCAGCTGATCAGACACACATTTGATGCAGAGAAATGCTTATCAATACCCAATCTTTGCAATAAAAGCAATTTGTAAGACAATCATCTGTTGCCAGACTTCTAATCAGTTGGTTGTGAAACATAGTTTATATCTAGTCTGGCAGAATTTATTAACAATAGCTGTTCTTTCCAGATGTTGCTCGGGTAATACAGTTAACAATGTCACCTGGTTTCCGGCATACATTTATGCAGAAACAAGTCTTTCAGGAGCAGCACTACAAAATATGATTGAAAAAATAAAAAAATTAATGAGTTAGAGAACCCTCAGGAACAGTGTCAAAACGAGCTTTGAATCGTTCATACCACTGACGCTATCCAGCTGAGTCGGATTTCATACAACAGCATTAAAAGCTATGATGTAGAAATTATAAGTTAATTCAGATTCACAATTTGAACTTTTGAAAAACCTTTTCGATTACAGTTATTTCTGTCTGGCGCAGGTTTTGTACAGGAATTTGTACATCGGTAGGTAAAATGTAAAAGAAATTTTCTTATAAGCAAAAAGAAAGGAATCTACACACTTTTTATTTCGTAATGGTGCTTAATAAATTTAAGGAACTGTTAAGAACAGGCGTACAGTAGCGACCATTATTTAATATCAACCAGGAAAAGTTTTTTTTTTTGCTTTAGAACAACTCT